TAATTGTTTTGTTATTATTGATACTAATGTTGTTTTTATTACTCCGTAATATTTTCTTATAGTAATAGCAATAGTAAATATTATTTTCATTCTGGTCGGGCTGGAGTGTGGGCTTGAAATAAGGCCCGATCACGGCCCTAAATGACTCGGGTCGCCATTTATGAAGCACGTAGCTTAAAATGTCAAGTTTTAACCCATTATTTTAGGGGGCGGTTTTTGATCAGGTCTAATGGGAAAGCATATAGTACTCCGTAAAAGAATCTACTGATTCAACTGGTGCACTCATGCGGAGTAAGATATTTGCGTTAACGCCAATTGCGCTGACCAATCAAATCACCCGAAATTAGTCAAACTAGGTGGTCAGCCATATGCTAGCCATTCCCCGCTATTTGAGGGATGGAGTGATGATTAAATTCTCACTTAATGAGGTATTCGAGTAAAGTATATATATGTGTATCCACTAATTACATATATACTGTTTTCATAACCTTAATTTCAAGAAAGAAAACTTTTTTACTATCACTCCCTTACTGAAATGAGTGGTAAAGTATGAATATGCTAAATTTTGTTTGCTTGAAATTTGTATTGAAAAAAAAAAGATAATTAGAGAAGTAAGAAGCATCACACAATGGTGGTGGTTACGACATTTCAGGCGATGCCCTCTCACGCCTTACATGTTATGGGTGAGGGGGGCGTGATGGAGGGTGGTCAAGCCCCTCCTGGCTTATTCTTGCCCAAGTGTAAAAGTATAACTTGTGTGATTATTTTTGTAGTTGTAGTTTGCAGTGAAAAAGTAAAAGTAATATATATGAACACAAATGTTGCCTTTATAAGAACATGCCGGGAAAATTTTGTAACAAATCTAATAGAAATATAAAATGGAAAAAATGGAGCTCTCTACATTATTATTATTATTATTATTATTATTATTATTATTATTATTATTATTATTATTATTATTATTATTATTATTATTGAGAAGGAAAGTCATCACAATTACTACCTCCCTCCCAGAGTATTTGTCCACTTTCATTTTTGCACGCCATCCAATGCACTTCTTTAATCCATTTTATCTTGTAATTTGTATATTAAAAAATTATAGAAATTATATATTAATAATCTATATGTTAAGACAAATCAAACAAGATCACACATGACTATATTTAGGCTTACACATTGAGAGAATTTGATGAGTCAAAGTGCTTAGATGAACAATTCCAAAAGTCAAAACTGGACGAATACTCCGAGACGGATGGAGTAATTTATAGTGTCAATGCAACAAGGAGAGCATTCATATTGTCAACAAGGTCCCAACACAAATTAAAAGGGAGCACTCTGTATATTTATGCATACATAGAATGTGAAAAAATCCAAGTGCACAATGTATTTAGAAAGCTAAGGATGAGAGTTACGTTAATCCAGAGGGGTACGGGTGGAGCTAAGGAAGGTAATTATGAGTTACATTTTCATCATTAAGGTCCGTTTGATACACAGGATTGACAGAACTAGAATTAAATTGAAATTAAAATTCTTTGTAATTGAAAGGGATGGAATTGATCGAAATTTCCAATTCTAGTTTATTTTTTGTACTACCAATTCAAATCAATATATTTTCGTGCTCGAAGATTAAGGCTTTGTATACGGAATTCAAAATATGAAATTGGAATTGTTGACAAAAATCTCAATTCTGCTGTTTGGTTACACAAAAATAAATAGATTTGAAATTTGAAGTGCCAAAAATGAATTGAAATTAGAAAATTCAATTCTATAAAATTTCAACTTCCAATTTTATTCTAATTTCGTCAAATTCCGTATACCAAACGGACCGCAATAATTATTCTATGGGCTTAATTAGTAGACGCATGTGGTGTTGTGGAAGTTGACGAGGAGATGAATGGGGAGGGACAACGACAACTACACATATTAGTACTTTGTTAGTGATGCATGAGAACGAAGAAGACAGCCATCACCACGCACCATCCACTTTTTATTTATTTTTTTTAAAAGTTGTTTGTGTTTTTTTTTGTTGGGTTGGGGGTTTGAGATTTCAATGTTGAATTAAGCTAGGGTAAACCAACATAGGGTACCCCAAGTGTACACCAAGCCAACACAGACACACACAGACACAAAGTGTCTGTGTTGCACATACATTTTGTGTCTGTGTGTGTCTGTGTTGGCTTGGTGTACACTTGGGGTACCCCATATTGGTGTACCCCTAGCATTGCCCTTCAATGTTTCATACTGCTGCACTATAATCAAAATGTAAATAAACAAACAGTACGTCCGGAGTGTAAAGAACGAGCACTACAGTGATCCCGTGGCCCCCCGCCACTTCACTTTGCCAAGGATCTCATGATGGTGGTTTTTTTAATTCGTACCAAAAAAACATTTTTCATTTTTATTAGAAAAGTCATTTTTATTTTTATTAATTCTTAATCTATCTATTACATCACAATTTTTTACTATTAATCTACCAATCACTTTCTATTTTTACTCATCACATCCAAGGATATTTTTGGAAAATCAAAAAATGACGTGCATACTTATTATAATTACGGATTACAATGTAGCACGATATTCGGCCAGCCCAATATGCTAAACCACTTGTTTAACATTATATACACCGTGAAAGATCAAGAGGGAAAAAAAATTACGAGACCGGAGTATACAATTTGTTATTAAGACAAAATAACTTTTAAGATATTTGCATTGCTATTTTACCTTTGATCTCTAAATTTAAGATGAGTTTTAGTTTTAAAGTGAACAATGAACGCACCATATCACCCTACTATATATAGTGGTTTGAAAGCCACTCCAACTTGCATACGGAGTGTATGTTGGGGATATTGGCCTGTCATGTTTATTGATTTATTCCTGATAAGTAGTTTTTGGTTTATAAGCTGTTTATAAATGTGAAATTTGTACTAAATAGGACTAAAACATAATGACTTTCCTAATATATGACTTAAACTTTTTTATTCTCTAAATAGGACTAAATAATGACCTCGTGGGAGGAATAATGTCCAGTAATGCTAGACATTTACTTGAATAATGACTACTTGTTAATGACCAAAAGTCCTACATTGGGAAATAAAAACATATGGTCCTATATTGGGAAAGTCATTATGTTTTAGCCCTATTTAAGTAAATTTCTCTTTATAAATTAAATATTTTTTCGTGGAAGTAAAATGACTTAAATGATATATAAATCATGTGTAAATATTCATAAATGATGAGAGACAATTTCGTAAATAATCTGGTCAAAACAAAGAAATGAAAAACAAACTTAAAAATAAGTAGGTAAGAATTACTTATTTTTTTGTCTTATAAGCATCTTATAAATCAGCTTTTAAGTATACAGTAACATGTCATCAACTAATTTACAAGTTAAATATCGCTTATAAGCAGATTTGTCCAGCTTATAGAAGTGAAAAAACCCACATTATCGGCCTTAGGGGAGTAATGATGACAAATTAACGCACCAAAACTTATAGAAGTGAAAAAACCCACTCCACTACTGTATATTTACTCGATCACTCTATAAGTGGCCTGGGTATATATAGCGAGATGACCAAATTATGGAAAAGCATTTGTGCAAGTGGATCTTCTATCTGCGGGCGTCCAAATTCCACATTAAACTAACTTAATTTCCCACCGCTGAGATAATCTTCAATTCCGCAGTCCTTGTGTTATTTTTTTTTTAAAAAAAAGATGAACCCATCACCTAATAGCGAAGACTCATTATAATCGGTTAATGATTCCCTTAGAGGATATAAATTGTGCTTTAATCACTGATTGACCATTGTCTGTTATGCATCGTATATTTTAATATAATTGAAATAACAATTAACTAATGGTATAAAAAAGTTTGGTGGTACGAAATATATGTTTCATTGAGTTTGTTATAATAAAAATCTCGTTTCAACGAGAGTTTCAAGGGAGCAGCGTTCCCGAGCAAGGTTTAAAGGGCGACAGTACGGTCCCTGCGGGGTTCAAGTCTACAAGAGAAAAAAGAAATGGATCCCATAACAAAAACTACTCAACTCTCTCCACCAAAGGATAGAAAATCAATAGAAAATTGATGTGAAGTGCTTTTGGTCCTTTTCTAAATGCTAATATGTACTGTCTACATCCCACACACATCTTTTTGGACACCATTTAGCTTAACTCACTTTTGTTTGTTTGCCTGACTACTCTTTTGCTCATCTCTTGTTTTAAAGCATTTTACATATATTTTTTACTATACAAATTAAAACCTTAATTTTAATGTTACATTTACAATCAAATAAATTAATTTAAAAATAAAATCGGTCAAACTTCGTTACACGTAATAGGAAGATCTGTGAAAAACATAGAGAGTACCATGCTAGTATGCTACTTTATACGTACTACTCCATCCGTTCCTGAGTATTTGTCCATTTTTGACTTTTTGCAGTCAAAGTTAGCATTTTTGACCTTAAATTAAATAAAAATGATATTTGATATTGATACAAAAATAGTTTTTTAGATTTATTATATCAAATATTTTCAAAATATTATTTTATCTAAATAATATACAATATATATTTAATTTAATTATTAGATATATTATATCAAATATTTTCAAAATATTATTTTATCTAATTAATAGACAATATATATTTTATTTAATTATAGTTCAAAAGTTGAAAACAGTTGATCAAAAACAAATCAAAACTGAACAAATACTCAGGTAATATTATTTTATTTTAAGAATATAAAAAAATTGTTTTTTTCTTTCTTTCCAGATTTGTTTTAATTTTAACCGTACAAGCTAAGGTAAAGAAATCGTTAGGATCATTTTCTTTATCTTATTCTCTTAGAATATACTCCGTATAAAAATATCTGAGTTGGTTCCTTGCCCATAACCATGCCGTTTTAAAAAGTTACACAAAATGATTATTATAAGTACTCCGTAACAATGTTACACAAGTCAACAAGCAGGCAATATAAATTCTCAGGTATCACATTTCGTTACTCCAAAGAATATAATAATCACACCGGAAAAAATGGTCCGCCCTTTTACTCTACTCCAACCCTCTCCGCTTACGGCGGCCGACTTGTAGCAAGTCAACCGCCACGGCGGCGCACTTTTCTTGAATCCACAAAAAAAAAGAGAGAGATTAAATGCTTTTCGCCGTGTTTCTCGCCGTCTTCCTGCCATGCGCCGGCATGTCCGTAGTGTTGATTGTGTACTGCTGCATGCTCTGGTACGCCGCCACCTACCCCGACGACGTCGGCGGAGACTCCGCCGCCGAGGAGGCGGTGAAGGACAACCAGCCGAGCGGCCTCTCCCCGACGCAGCTCCAGAAGCTGCCGAGCGTCACGGGGAAGGATTTGGTTCTGGGCGAAGATTGCGCGGTTTGCTTAGACGTCATTGGGGCCGACGAACCGGCTCGGCTCGTTCCGGGCTGCAACCACGGCTTCCACGTGGAATGCGCAGACACCTGGCTCGCTAGGAACCCGGCCTGCCCGGTTTGCAGAAACTGGCTCGGACCGGAACTATTTGACCCGCCCGAAGCTAATCCATGCTGAACTATATACCAACCAATCACGTGCGGCAAATGTGTTTCACGCTATCATTATTGTGGGAACTTCGGCTGGATCAAGAAAATTGGGCTTGGGCCGCGGGGAAAGGCCCTTTACTGTTTTTTGGTTTAATGGTAAGAAAAAATAATATTACGAGAGTATGTAACCTTGTATTATACGTAGTACTTCATATTTTTAGCCCCATGAACCCATATTAATTTTAAGAGGTATCGTAAATTCAAACTTTATTTTTTTTACTTTGAACCCCTACGGTTGTAGAAATTCTTACAACTCTATCCTGTAAATCTTACTACTAGGCGTTCTGAAATTAATTAGAATATTTTTGTCTCATGCCGTATTTCTTTGTATGTCTTAATATTCGTTATTATTTTATTAATTTTTTATGACATTAATACCATTCACACAATCTCATTTTTCTTTGTCATGCCCTAAAATGAGTGGAACGAACGGAGTATTACTTATTGTTTTTATGTCACAAAAATATCACGGTGTTAACTAACTAAACTGGGTGCGTCCATGCCTACCCATATATGCATGTATTGTGATGTAGAGCTGAGCTTAGTGGCAAGCAGCTGCAGGGTAGCACTTTTATCAGCTGGGGAAAAGATAATAAAGTACGCACGATAATGAAAGGATATGATACACCCATTATTATAGTTCACTATTTATATCTTGGACTCTCACCACTGGTCTCGAAATATGAAAAAATAAAATTGACCTGGTCTAAAATTTACATTTTGGAACATATTTTATTTTTTTAAAATACTTATGCTTTAAAATTAATGCCAAATTTAAAAATATAGAGCCCTAAAATTTTAAAAGTCTTTTGCGGTTTACCACTTTGTTGGACACCCTCCGGGCGACCTATGACTCCCACCTAATTAAATTGAAAAAAAGAAAGAAAGATAAACCCTAACCCTATATCAAGGAGGGTATGAATTGAGCTGTGATGATTTTAATCTAACAAAGACTAGAAATTTACTCTTAACACATAAGATCCAAGAACCTCATACTTACATAATTAATCAGTGGCAAATTCAAGATTTTAAATAGTTGGGACACAAATGGTTAGGGTCCCTGGAATTTTTTAAAAGACAATTAAAAATGACAATATGAAATTTTTATTGAATTTAATTTTTTTAATAGATAGTATGAAATTTTATTTTATAAATAATTCATTTTTTTAACCAACAACACATACACTAATCATTCAAAATAGGTGACACAAAGTTACGTGGAATAGGATTTCAAGTACATGGGTAAGCCTCAATCCTACAAGACAAAGTATGGGCCACCCTATAAACAATTAGTTATATGTATTGAATGAAATCCATTTTATTTAGGGTTGCTTCAATTTAAATTGGATCCAATATACATAGCCTTTTTTTTTAACCCAAAAAATAGTTGGGGGACTTTATATACGGAGTAGATGATTGACCCACCAGCGCTTGGCATGGTTGTCCTTCATTGCCTTTTTCCAACATGGATCTCACACATATATATATATATATATATATATTGGTGCTTGTACCTAATTAATTTAAAGATACCCTTCCGTAGGGATAATAATAGACCCCCATTACATTTCCCACTAGAGCTATATGCATGTGACAGCCTCATATCACCACAATGAGGGTGGTAGAGAATAAAAGCTTAGTTACTCCGTACTACGGTTTTCGAAAGTTTTCTTTTTATTTGGCTTTCTTAACAAAAAATGATGAGCTCCAAATCTATTTCCGAGGGGTCTCTTAGGCCGAGTCGAATGATTACTAATAGGAGGTAAATTAAATTTTGGTCGCATATTAATGATAAAGAGTGAAGCATGCATGCCTCATAACGCGATTATAAGGAATCAAACATAGGTCTTACCTACATGGCACTTTCTGCATTTACTAACTGCGCAATGCCAACTGACACTTATATTATCTGGCTTTCTTTATTGCTTAGATAATGTATTTTAAACATTGATTGTAATATATGAAGAAAAAATATTACTCCCTCCGTCCATGAAACATGGGAGTTTTGCTTTTTTGGAGGGATTTAAGGAGAGTGTATTTTGGTATTAAATTTCCAAAAATATCCTTTGATGTGATAGGTAAAAGTATGATTTGATGGATAGATTATTAGTAAAAAGGTATGATGTAATAGTTAAGGTATGAAAAAGTAAGGGGTAAAGTGACTTTTAAATAAAAATGAGAAGTGTTTTGTGGGACGGATAAAAAAAGAAAGGAGAAAGTTTTATGGGACGGAGGGAGTATATTATAATATAAATTTTACAAAAAATAAATTCATTTCAAACACAATTTTGAATTATTTTTTATATAATACTCGTATATAATACTCCCTTCAATTCATCCCTAATATATATATATATATATATATATATATATATAGTGGAATAAAATATTAATTTAATTGAAGTTAAAAGTTTATAGATCTAATTCAATTTTAAAATATCAAATGGAAAAATGCACGTACTAGGACGCATAGGTAATACTCCTCCGTCCCATAAAATGTTACCCATTTTGACTAAAGTAGAAATTAAGGGAGGGATAATTTTGTGTTGACTTTCCAAAAATACCCTTGATGTGATGGCTAAAAGTAGGATGTGATGTGTAGATTATTAGGAAAAAGGTATGATGTGATAGGTAGGGTTTGAAAAAGTAAGGGGTAAAAGTGGTTTTTTAATAGAAATAGGTAAGGGATTGTGGGACACAATTTTTTTGAAACGTGTAAATTTTTTTGGGACGGAGGGAGTATATTCATTGAAATGTTAAAGTTCAAATTGTTGCGTTGAAAAGGGGTAAAAATGCCAAATAAAAAGAACAATTATAATAATTAGGCACCCTAAAACGAGTCCAAAATTGCTTCCGTCTACTCATAGACACGTACGTATTTGTAAGCGTCAACCGTAAGGCTCTCTCTCTCTATCTCTCTGGATCCTACGTTGCGTTGCATGAAAACACGGACGGAAATACGGAAAAGAAGAACCGAATGAACTACGATCCACAAGAGTATGACGCCTGTAAAATACAGTGACAGATCTAATAATTTATATGATCTGGGACACCGTTATTGCAAAGAGTAGGGCGGGGTAAGAGTTGGAGGCCTTCATTTGAAATATTATGTTTTGGAAATTAAAATTCAATTGAAATCTTAGATTTCAATTTCAATATTTAAAAATTTCATAATTTCAAATTCCAAATGTTATTTGTGGAGTCATAGTTATCCAATTTTAGAATTTGAAAATTGAGATTGTTGTTAATGAGGAAAGACCCGTTTTTAATTACAAGTAATAAATTAAAAAAAAAGTTGGACTTGAATTTGTAAATAAAATAGAGAGATGTGCGAATTTGCAATTGAGTTAATTTTAAATTTGAAAAATTTGGTCCAAATCTAAAATCTTTGAATTCACAAACAACTAATTTAAATCAAATCTAAGTTTACAAACATATAATTAACTCTTTTCAATTTTCTTCTAATAGCTTCTTCAAATATCCAACTATTTTTTCCTAAACTAAACAACATACTCGAATTTAATATTGCCAACACACTGGAATTTAATTTTTTCCAACAAAGGAGCGTACAAGGATGTGATTCTTCGAAGCATTTACTGATGAATTTAGCCACGTAGAAGCCACAACTACTGTTGAATTAAATGAACACATTTCGTACTCTCTACGTGACATTTATGTTGCCTAATAAGTACAAATTTGTACTCTTCCCATAACATGCACCCTCCTTTTCAATCCAACGGTTCATAAATTTTCCTTCTACCAAGAGTATTTAATTTGTTACGAAACTTTAAAATAATATTTTGATAATATATTTATTTGTATCACGATATATATTATATAAATATAATATTTTATAATGTACTCCCTCCGTCCCCCTAAGATGTTCTCATTTTGACTTTTGGTGGTTTTTAAGGAGAGTTGAAAAAAGGTGAAAGTTTACCATAATACCCTTAATGAAAAATGAGTGTAGTGTATTAAATGAGGTGGGTGAGGTGTAATAAATAAAGTAAGTGGGGGTACTTGTGGTATTTTAATTGTTAAAAAATGAAATGAGAAGATCTATTGTGGACAAAGAAAAAGTGCTATTGGGAAGATCTATGGGGGACGGAGGGAGTATTAAAAAATTAGTAGTGGTGCCGATCGAAGAAGGGGATGCTGTCTACACTGCACCGACCACGAAGGGAGTGGTGGTTCCTCTCGATCGGCACCGGTCGCCACATCGTCGGGTCTACCTAGATTATGAATGTTGAAGTGAAATTTCTAAATAAGGTTCAATAAATGAAATCTAAAGAGTTCAAAAGAATAAAATTTACGGAGTAATTGAAACTGAAATCTGATATTTAGAATTTGGTAACTTGATTCTAGAGTATGTATCATTAAAACATAATTGATGTAAAGTTTAATTATGGACGAAGGGAGTATATAGCTCGGAGTATTATGTGCAAAACATGATACACCTTTAAACACAAAAAATCATTTTAATATAAAAAGAGCCGTGGAATGACAACTAATGAAGTGAAATTTAAAAAAAAAATTGTGTTATGTATTTCCTCATTGGAAAGTTATATTACTATATGGTCTTTTAAAAGTTGATAAGGAATTTTTTTGAAATTAGAATGAAAATTTTTATGTACGTTAAGTGCAAATAATACGTAAAATTAATAAAATGTCTTAAAATACAAAATAGGAACCATTTTATAAAACGAATGAAGTATAATATGTCAAAATTGACTCTAATTGAATATAAAAAATTAAATTGAACAAATATACTTCAAGGAAATATAGTATCCCATGTCTCAAATTAAATTGTCCGTTTACTATTTACAAGGTCATTTTTTTTCACTTTTTCTTTCTATTTCCATTAGTCATCTAATAAAATAATACAGTTATGTTACAACTTATTTTGTAGATCTTTTGAAGTAGTATTTAAATGTACAATTTATAATTTTCTATTCTATACAATCTTTCATATAAAATAATATAAAAATAATTGTAGTTAAATATTATAAATGAAAAAAACAATTTAAATTGAGACGAGTGACCATGAATCATTTCGAAATAATTTTGTCTATTTAAAATTTGAGTTGGCGTGCTACTTTTGAGGACTACTTAACGGGTTAAAGATGCCAGAAATGGTGCCCCTGAATAAAATACGGACACTACGGATCCGACTTAGTATAAAATCATACGGCGCACTTTTCCCTATCCACAACACTCACTACCAAAAGAAGAAAATAAAGAAGAAAAAAAAGAAAAAGAAATGCTTTTCTCCGTGTTTCTCGCACTATTCCTGCCCTGCGCCGGCATGTCCGTGGTTCTAATAGTGTACTTCTGCTTGCTCTGGTACGCCACCACCTGTCCGGAGGCCGCCGCCGCCGACGATGCGGTGAAGTGCAACCAGCCGACCGGCCTCTCCGCCGCGCAGCTCGAGAAGCTTCCGAGCGTCACGGGGAAGGATTTGGTCCTGGGCGAGGATTGCGCGGTTTGCCTGGACGTCATCCGGGCCGACGAACCGGTTCGGCTCGTCCCCGGCTGCAACCACGGTTTCCACGTGGAATGCGCCGACACGTGGCTCGCCAAGCACCCGGTCTGCCCGATTTGCAGAAGCGGGCTCGGCCCGGACCTATTTGATCCGCCCGAAACCAACCCATGCTGAGCTATGAACCGCGAAGTTGTCAGGTTAAATTACCTGTACCGCTAGGGGTAAACTGGTAATTTCCTCTTATCATCAGCTGAGAAAATCTGAAAATGGATCTGGACTCGAGGGGATGCCCAGGCCAGAAGTTAGAAACTTTAGAACACATTTTTTTTGTTTAGTTTTTTATTTTAATTTTGTTTTAAAAATATGTTCAAATTAGATTTTTTTACTGTACGTATTAGATTCATTTAATGATGAGTATTCTGTTTATGGATGTCATGCTACGTACCCCCGGCGTGATGCACGGTCTTGTATATGATCAAACATGGCAAATAAAAAACGCAACACTATTTAATTATTAGCATCAATTTGGCAGTTGTTTTGCATTTACCCTTCTAAAAATGATATTTCTATTCAAAATCCGCGTTTAACTTTAACATCTGAAAGTGACGATTAAGAAGACGAGATCAGACCACCAGTCTAATAATTACGAATGAACAATGTACGCTGGTTAGTGTTCCACAGTTTATGATGTAATGAGTGCTAAGAGAGTAAGATCTGAGTTTGACTATACTAACTCATCCTTTTTTTTACCAATGAACTATGCACTTCAAATTCAATTTTGTTTCTGATTGGATGGGATTGAATTAATATTTTGGGTCACGATCCAAATGTTGCAATCAGTAGATGATGGGTGCAAGACATATGTGCATGGTAGGAGCAGTACATATATATATATAGTGTGTGAGGTGGCGTTCAGATGGCACTAATCAATCAAAATAATATAAAATGTACAAATGTATATAATGAGCCGTCTGGGAAAAACAACTCCAAAGCGCAATTATTGTTGTACTGGTTTACACGCACAGATCATATTACGGAGTATTTGATTGATCAAATTAGTGTCCCTTTCACCACTCCTCAAACTGATTTAAAAACACATTTTGCGTTAATACTCCGCATCACTCGTATATAATTGACGTGGACGACTGGAATGCACATTCTTCAGGGTTAATTCACATTAATTGTACTCATATTGAACCCTTAACAATTTATTAAAAAAAAAAAAAGGATAGGATGAGTCTCATCCCCTAGCTAGGATCTCCTTAGAGTCGGCCAACTTAACCCCGTATTGAAGGTAACCCCCTCAGACCTAGTCGGCCCACCATGCACATTGCAAGCCCACCACAAAGAAATCTCAACCTCCAACTTGGATCTACAGATAAGTAGATATCGCTTGCCACTACTCATTTGGTCATACCCAACTAAGGTTGGGATGATGGTTGTTAGGTTAGACATGCTTGCTACGAAATTGAAGAAATGAACTAAATGAAGTTTGACTATATAGTTATTTACAGACAATTTAATTTAGCACGGAAGGAGTAATAATTAGTCTTAATACCTATATACCGTGGAGTATATAGAGAATAGAAAAAATATCCTAATAATGGTACTCCGTATAATATGACACAAAATTACGGTAAGAGTAAAATGAATAAAATAATTAATGACGATATTTATTTCTAATTATTTACTCCCTCCGTCTCTCTAAGATGTTCTCACTTTGACTTTTGATGGTTTTTAAGGAGAGTTGAAAAAAGGTGAAAGTTTACCATAATACCCTTAATGAAAATGGATGGAGTGTAATAAATAAAGTAAGTGGGGGTAGTTGTGATATTTTAATTATTAAAAAATGAAATGAGAAGATCTATTATGGACAAAGAAAAAGTGTTATTGGAAAGATCTATGGGGGACGGAGGAAGTATATTATTAGCAGTACAATATTTTACTATAGCAATTTCAATGCTCTATTTGATTGCCAACTAATTAACTGAACTCGGTATTTATTTATTTTAAAATGGAGACTTGGTTAAAAAAGTGGGGAGCATCAAAATAAAACAATAATCTCTGAAAACGTGAGAAAAGAGTACGTTCAGAGGTTGTACACACTCGACACAGATAAACATCATCGAAATAATTAAGGTGGGACTGGGAGCACGACGAGACACGATTATTCATAACGACCTTGTATGGGAAGAGCGAGTACATTTTAGATAAAATATTAATAATGTAAATTAATTTAGAAAATGTTAATGCTAACATCATCGAAATAAGATGGGCCTGAATCGCCTCGTTTCACAACCGGCTCAGTGCCGCGCTTGATTTCCGCCAAGAGAACTGATGGGTAATAACCCATGGGTACCATCCGGTTGGTTCACCCGACTGGGTGGTGATGGAAGTGACAGCACGTAACCTTCTCAGCCCGAGTTATTTCACCGGTTGGATGGGAAGGCCGGATACCAACAATTGAAGATCTATTTGAGCAAGTGCTCCTGGTTGGCCGGTCAGCCAACTGACCAGTTCGATAATCAGGGACGTGCTTGACGTGTTTAGGATTATTATAAATACCCCTAAAACCCTCATTTGTGAGGTATGCTTTAATTAATCCACACGGCTTGTACTTTGTAATAGCTCCTATTATCAATAATAACAAACTGGGTTACAGGTGCTTCCACCTATAACCCTTCCGATTACTTATATTTAGCATTTGCGTGGTAATTTACACCATCAAGAACTGCAATTGAGATCCGCCAATCGCGTCCGGCGCGGCGCTTTTCTCCATCCCCATTGTAAATGCTGTTAAGTACTCCCTCTTCCCTAAATAGATTGCAATTTTTTTTCTCTCCTCTCGATAACTTTTGTTTGTTTATGCAATTTTCATTAAGTATTTGATAAAATAAACACCTCTTGTTTTGTAGAACTTTTGACGTAGTTTTTTAATATGTAATTTTTATATTTTATTGATTTGCCAATTTGTAAATAAAATGATTTCAAAAAGTAAAAAATTTTACTCCGTAACCCGCAATTTGTAATCAAATTAGAGACGGAGGGAGTATGATTTTAAAAATTAGGGCAAAGCTAGGATTCACCAATTTGTATATGAGTTTCCATCCCAAAACTCTTCTAAAGAGTAATTAAAAAAAAGAGTAATTGATTACTCCGTACATATTTGTTATCCACTAAGTATTTAATTTTTTTTATTCATCTTAAAATTACGGAAATTTTTATTTATTATGTATTTTCATTGATTATTTAATAAAATAAAATATTATTTAAAAAAGGGAGAATATGAAAAAGAGAAAAAAGGGTATGGGGTGGGGTGGGGTGGGGTATACGTTGGTGGAAAACAAGTGGCGGGCTGTAAGGATCACACACACACTGTGGAGAGGGTACGTCATGATTGATAAAAAGGGCACCCTCTGCTGACTCAGCTCACACTCTCCTTGTCAATTTCCAACTCTATATTTTTATCCTTTTCTTTGTCTTCTTCCCACTCATTTTTTGTTCAAATCCTTTTCCCATCTCTATTTTCTTTCTTCAAAGTTCAATTACACTCTATCTCTCCCAAAATAATTTTCATTATTATTATTATTATTATTATATTATTATTATTATTATTATTATTTGTATAATTTTATGGTTATTATTTGAAAAATTAACAATCAAACTTTATCTTGTAAAACTTCTTATTTGATTTTTCAAGATATAAATTATATATTTTTTGTTCTATATTAATTTGTGAAAGAGAAAATTAAGTCATATGATTGTGACATAGTTCGAACAATATAAAAAAAATCAAAACAAGGGAGTAAACTTGACTTGATGAATATGTATGTACATCATTTATACGGAATATGAAAGAATTCCATTTGGTACACTGAATTGTCAAAATTAAAATTCTATGAAATTGAATTGATTGCATTTGAATTTTCCAATTTTAATTTATTTTTTACACTACCAATTCCAAATCAACGTATTTTTCTACCGCCAAATAGTAAAATTGTAATTAAAATCCTTAATTACAATTCCAAATGGGTATACCAAATGGGTCTTTTAATTTAGTTTATCCAATAGTTAACTATGTGCTCAAACTGCTCATTATATATGTTCAAAATTATTTGTTTTGTTTTATGGTTCGTCACAACTACTTGTCGTGCATGTGTCATGTGTGTATGTGGAAAATGTGTTCATTAAAAAATGTGTACTCCCTCGGCCCGAATTTTGTTTTTCATTTAAATTTTCAAGGTCTACAATAATAGACTTTGACTACTGATATTTATACTTATACGTAGATATATTTAATAAAAGTTCAATATTCAAAATTTATGTTTTAAAACAACGTATTGATATTAGATTTATATCATAACACATTATATTTTTCCCATATATTAGATTAAAATCTACAAAATTTTGATCATAAAAAGTCAAACAACAAGAAAAATTTGAGACAGAGGGAAGAGTATTTCTCTTTCAACTTTCGTTTTCGATATTTCAATTAATCTAATAATGTTAACTAAATTAGAATATCTCTCCTAAACTCGATAAGATGCTACAGATTATAATTTTTACAAATGATTAACAAAAATAGATAAATTAAAAGAAACATTTAATTCTAACGGGTGAATAATGCAACAAATAAAAAATTGTTTCTAAATTTGAGAAATAATAAAACAAAAGCTGGAAAGCGTGGTGGAGTATATTGAAGATTTGGTTCTTGTAACGGATTATGGTATGGTATGGTATATATTGTGGGCTTGGCTTGGAAAATGGAATATTTTGTTGAGAAAAAACAATCTGTTGACAAACAAACCAAATAATATATCGTTTGATACGATTCTAACGTATCCAACCCCCATTACTATTGCCTGCCTCTAACTAAGATCGTTTGAATATCAAGAACCAAAAGAAATTCATATATTTATTCTCTCCGTTTCTAAAAAAAAATTCCTAGTTTGACTAATTGGTGAAATATGAAGTGTACATTTGTAGTTGACTTTCCAATTTTGTTCTTAATGTAATGAGTAAAAGTAAAATGTGATGAATAGATTATTGATGAAAAAATATGATATAATAGATATGATAAGACAAAGTAGAGATAAACGTTATTTTTTTTATTAAAAAGTGAAAATGCTATAGAAAATCGAAAGCAACTTAAATTATGTGAATCATATCACACAATTAACTTTTGAGGATAAAATATATACTCCCTCCGTCCCATAAAGTGTTACCCATTTTGACTAAAGTAGAAATTAAGGAAGGGATAATTTTGTGTTGACTTTCCAAAAATACCCTTGATGTGATGAGTAAAAGTAGGATGTGATGTGTAGATTATTAGGAAAAAGGTATGATGTGATAAGTATGGTTTGAAAAAGTAAGGGGTAAAAGTGGTTTTTTAATAGGAATGGGTAGGAGATTGTGGAACACAATTTTTTTAAAAGGTGTAAATCTTTTTGGGACGGAGGGAGTATTTCGTAACGACGGAAGTTATAAACAATAATTAAATATTTAGGCTTTTGAGGATAAAAGTATATTTTTATTAAAGAAGCAAAAAATATGTGCTAAGAATAAAATCAATATGACGTTGGAATATCCTAGCTAGTGACCCGTGTGAAGTTGATTTTGAGAGGAAGGGAATATTTCTTCATTTTCCTTGTGAGTTCTCTCTTTATTGGAATATTCCAATATATTCTTACTCTTCAAATGTTCGTCACATAATGCACAAAAAAGTCAAAATAAAATAAAATTTAAAAAATAAAATTTATATACTTAAAATCTACATTAAAAATTCTTCAAAAAAAGTTGTGACAAGAATATTTTATTTTAACAAATACTCAATAATGTAAATGTTACATATGAATATATAGTGTTTCTTTGGTGCACCTTAAGGGCATATTGCTTTTGTAAACCTTCTCATTTAAAAATTCTTTTTTTACTTTTATTTTTTATTTTTTTAAAAATGCTCATCTAGGTAGTAAGAAATTACTTATTTGAGTTATATATAGATCCATGATAGACCCAGTGGCGGAGGCAAATGACTGCAGTTGCACCCACTGAAATTGGATAAGTTTATACATATATAGTAGTTTACTCAATATTTGGCTTAGCTGATTTGGTTCAAGACCTGGAAATCAGCCACTAGACCCTAAGTTTGAACCCCTCCCCCCTCCTTGTATGATAAATTTTTTATAAACTATTCCTTTATAATTTTTTTATTTATACTTTGACCCCACTCTCCCCAATACCTGGCTCCGCCACTGGATAGACCTTAAATCTATCATAGAAGTTGCCATGAATATAATACAAAGTATGTAGCTATGTTGTAGATGACAACAAAACAATATAAATCACATGATATTTTTTTCAAAGTATATATATAGTTTAAAACAGACATCAAAATATTGTTCCACAATTGACCAGAGACAAATATTAAGAAAAGTACTCTGTAATATAGTATTGTTAAAAGTGATGCAAAGAAAAGAGCAAAATAATAGCTTGAAAAGCTTTTTCAAAAGTAAAAACTTGAACTTTTTTTAAACAAATGAAAAATGAAATAAATAGTCATAACAAAAGAAATAAGGAAAATTTCACACCAACACTCTCAGAATTGCAAGAGTTTACATAAATCTTACGAGATTCAATAAATGACATCAATGCTCTCAAAATTTTTCAATATTCACATCAGTGCTCCTAGAATCGGTATGTGTTTAGATCAATGCCCCAACATGTGGAGCATAGAAGTAAACAAAATTAATTTTTAGAGCAACGATGTGAATATAGGAAAATTTTGGGAGCATTAATGTCATATCTCGGAGTATTTATGTAAACTCGTGCAATTTTGGAAGTATTGTTGTGAATTTTTCCAAGAAATAATTCACATAGTATAAAGGGATACGCCCTTAGTGATAGTACCATTGGTAAACCAAAACCAGAAATCAGGAGCCCATAAACTAACACTAACTAAAATCAGATCCTTATATGTATAAAGGCTACAATTCACCTGATGTTATCAGATGAAAGACTGAAATAGACATTCCCAAGAATGTGGGACTAGGACAATCTCAAAACAGCATAAACAAAAATCCGAACCAAAATTGTTTGACCCAAGAACAGGACCGGGAACCAATGATTCCTGCAAAGGTTCCATTTTTCTAACATCTTTCAACTCCATTAATACTTAGATGCATTTACACATAGAGCATTGTTTAATGCATGTGTTTTGTTTGTCTACATACATCCTTATGGTAGGCCGGGTCTTCCATTTCTTTTACACATCATTTCATTTTCAAAGATAGTGTCTAAATAAATAATGTGGTAATAGTATTCTAAATTTCAAATATCAGCCCTAATGTCTTCCAAAGTTAAACTCCACGTGAACGACATAGCGCATCCTAATTTGCTCCGTCTTGTAAACTATGTACTCATTGTACAACAAGCTACCCTGCTAGAAAACAGAGGAATAAAACCTTTTTTTAGTGGACAGAGGAACAAAACCTAGTTCAACCTTTGTCACATTTAAAAATATACGTAGTGTATGAGAGTGAGTAGTGCAGTGTACCTTTATGTCTGGCTGCTTCTTCGGCTTCCCACAGGGGACAACAACTCCATCTTCAAGTGTACAAGCCTCTGAGAAATCTGGTGCAGTTTCCCCAACTCCTTTGGTACTGGAAATGTTACATTTTTAACGGGAGTCCAAAGCAAAGTAGTAGCAGCTCCAAATTACAGTGAAAAAAATTAATCCTTTCAACATTAATGGAGAGTTTTTCTTTCTTTTTTCAACTTTTTTGGGGCGGGGGCATCTGTAATCAGCATGCATTCATGTATATGTGTGTGTATACGTGTGTGTGTGTTTAAAACCCAGGAGCCAACACATTAACTTCAATGATTGCAAAACCCGCAAAAACAGATCATTATTAATGCCCAAACTACTCCCTTAGAAAACCACTTAAATATTCACTTCCCCTTGCTTACCCTGAGGATCCAACCAGCCTTTGTAATGGAGGCTGGTTTTATTTTATGGGAATTGTGAAAACTGTTTGAATTAGAATTGTGTGTTAGCCAAACATGAGAAGAATAGAACCTTAGCTTCCCGGTAGGTAATTTGTCAGCATCGTATTTTGCTGTTAGCAGCTCATTCATTTCTCCGAGAGCAACCTGAAGATTAAAACATAAACAAAAAACTGCAGGGCCGTTTTATTGCAGCATATCCAGTGTATGATTGATAAAGAAAAAATGATTAACAAGTTGATGCCAAAAGTATGTGAATTACGAAATAGTGAATGTGTAACATTGGAGTCTGGGTGCTCAATGTGGGTTGACCATAGAAACAAAATTGTTCTATAAATCGATGTGATGGCTCAACTGTTTCGTGAGGAGAGAAGTGGATAACATAGAAAAACCCCTTTTTGTTTCTGCAGAATAAGAGAACAAAAAAGAACAGAAGAGAGGTCGAACCTCACATAAAAGTAGCACACCTTCCCTAGCATTAGAGCTTGCATAGCAATAATTTGCACTCTTAGAGAACATATCAGCAAAATAAACTCCTTTTCCAAACATGTAACCAGTCACAGGTGCCTCTGGAGGAGCAATACGTAAACCTGGTATTGTTCACACAAGGGAACTATCAGTGAGCCTCGCATGGGGATGGATCCAAACTTTTTGATCATCTAGAAGACAATTGAACAACCTTGGGACAGAATACCAATCCAGTTGGAGAGCCGAGAGCCATGCCACAAAAGCATCCTGTTTCTGGTGTTGGAGAACTGCTTTAAAAGAAGGCTGATATCAGTGTTTGAAGGGTCTGTTTGGACTTCGGATGAAGGGGTTTCGGGGGCTGATTCTACTTCATAAACATGTGAGATTGTATCATAAAAATTTGAACAAATAACATAATAGGTTATTATATAACATTTCAATCATCTTTTGTCCAGTTTTAGAAACATTCTATTTGCAGAGATAAGATATAGACTAAGCCTTCTAAAAACATCCCCCTCTAACAACACCACTTAGTAGATGCAACTGAAATATGAAGTAATAACAAAAGGTGAGTCGAAAATCATATGCAAATTATGGTCCTTCACCTTCTGGAACCGTTCTCCTTCACTATCCCTTGCAACCCTAAATAAGTTAACAATATCCACAGTATATTGGGAATGCGTGTTGGCATGTGTATTCTTCATATATCTCTCAACCTGAGCAAAGGAATGTGATATCACTTTCAATGGGCCAATCAAATAAGTCTTGTTTCAAACAACATAAATCGAAGTAGGTGAATATATCCAACAGTTATTCCAAACAAAATCAACAAGAAAATAGAATAAAAAAAGATCAAACAGAAAGAAAATAATACCAATAAATACTCCTTAGTCCCAACCTCAACTGGAGTCATTTGACAGTTAAGTTGTTGATAATGGTAATACAAAGGATCATCCTACAAGGGAGAGAAAACAAGTTACAGCCTTACAGAGCATAAAATACAAAGAACAGAGGTACTGAGAGGAGAACACACACAGGGGTTGATTCAAATAAAAAGTGGTCTTCCTGTGAAAAATACAAAAGACTGCGCATTCAATCTATTTTGATGCACATTTGTTCTATTCCGAGCACTTCACCTGATTTTAAAAAAACTTCCATTTATTTACGACCATGCAATCTTTTTTAATTGTTTCAAAAAATTTTCTTCCTCCTAGCCATAGATCTAAAATCCAATGCACCATATCAGTTCTCATTTTTCATGGATGTGCACCTTTTATTTGATCTTACACACATGACTACACTTATTATTAAATTTATTTGGATATGAAGTAGTAAAATTATGCCGAGTATGCTATAATTATGGTTTTCTATATTTTCAATTATGTTAGTTATAAGATCATAAATTTAATTTAGACGCCCTATGTCCTGGTGCATTTGTCCACATTAGTTTTGGAAGATGGACCAAGAAGAAGAAAAAAGAGAATGAAGTAATCATTACGCGCTTTTAATTTTTGGGTGGGAGAGTTAGATTACTAGGTGGGGAAAATAACTCAATGTCACTTTATCTCTTTTCCTTAAAGGGAAAGTGGACAAATACATTGGGGGACCCCAAAATGGAATATTAAACAAATACATTGGAGCACTTTATCACCATGTCTTATTATTTGATGTGTAGTCACTTATAGATTAAGGTGGTGATAACCACACCCACAAAAAAACTAAATTCACCCCACCAACTAAATCCACTTCATTAATTTTATTTTCTTTTAAAACTAACCCCACTTAATTGACTCCATTTTTTAGGTTTTTGCGTATGAAGCACGGGTGCTTCGAAAAACAGCCGCACAAACCCAGGTGCAGGGGCGGCGGTGCAGCTGGTATTTTTTACTATTTATATTTTGAAAATGAACAACTGGGTAGTTTCATATTGTTTTTTTAAACTTGGGTTCGGCTGGGAAGTTTTGAGACATTTAATGTGGAGTGAATTTAATGTTTTGGTGGGGTGTGACTATTACAACCCAATAGATTACCCATATAAAGTAAAAAATATCATTGTTAACAAAAACAATTTAAAAATAATCTTCACAAGTTCTTATTTGATAGAGTAGTTTTTTAGAACAATACATAACATAAGAAGAAGATGAGGAATTCCAGGTTGGGCCTAGTGGCCTATCCACTATCCAGACAGAAGATGCGAATAACTCAAATACTCAATTAGGATAACTTGGTATGAAATACCTTAGAATGGTAAATAAAGAACTTCTGATTATCAGTTAGTCTATGAATGTAAATAAAAAAGAGTACCTTTAAGCCCATGGGGTCTTCCAGCAACTTAGTGGCAACCTCAATTAATCCGAGAGATTCCACCTTTCCATTTCCAAGGAATAGTACATCAATTAAATATATCACTAAGAAAGCAACAAAGTATTTACTGCATAGTAATTTAGTGAGATAGAAACAAGGAAACCTTTTAAAATCTGCATATATCTGAACCTCACTTTTTTTAACTAGGAACTACAGTGATGCATGTGCAAAAACAAGCAAACAAACCCAAAAAAACAAGTAGAACCTCTGAAGGTATATTTCATGTTTCAGAATCTTTGATAATCCCTCCGTCCCGAATTAATCGTCCTAGTTTGACTTCATGGAGTTTAAGAAAAGTGTAAAAATTGGATGGTTGATATATGTTTGGAAAAAAGAGAAAAACTGTGGACAACATATTCTTTACTTTATTACGCAAGTAGGACAATTATTTTGCTAAAACAGAAAGTGACATAGGGAGTAAAAGGGTACCCACCAAACATTTTTTATTTTCTTGACCAACAATTTAACGGTGTATATGGCTAGCTTCTTAGTGCAAAGTAATAAAGTACCCCACATGATAATGGAGTATGAAACAATCAAAAGCCATATGTCATCTCTATCTCCAACACTTAAAAAATAAATGCAAAGGGGAAAATATGTACGGAGATTGGAGAATATGCAGTTATGCCAGTGTCTGCATGTTTATAATTATTGTAACAAATAAGGTTGGAAATTACCATTTCCAATTTGTGTTTCAACTTCTGAGGGGTATCAATTGTAAACTTACCTGTCATCAAAGGCATCATCAATTTAATTATGCAAACCTTTAAAAAGCTAAATTAAATGTTGTTTGTCATATGGTTATCAGATAGTAGCCTTGTTCCAACATGCGGGTTTATAAATAATAGAGGAACTGTTAGAATTTGAATATGCTGTGATTCTGTGATAACTCAATGGGGTATTGGTGTGTGTGCAGATGTCCTAGTTCCTAATATGTTAGGTAGAAACAGATAGATATCATGGAATACATTGGCATCACCAGACTGGAAATGGAATAAGCACAGATAGAAGAGCCAGAGAGTCAATTAGTCAAAAGCGTCGAGCCGTCGACAATAAGAAATAAATGCACTTACTCATCTTTTTGAAGCCAAAATCATGAGGAATGACGGTGTAGAATTCACTGCAATTTGTATCAGCATTTATCAATTTAGCCTACAATTTCTTTAAAGAAAAACTTATAGTTCATCTATTGCTAACAGCATTTTGAAATTCAATCAATAGCTTTATCTTTTAATGAAAAAAATAAACTCATTGATAAGTCATATGGATACACATAAGTTCACTTCATACCTGCTTAAATTCTCAAGCATGGTTCTATTTGGTGTGTTAATGACATCAGCGATTCTCTTCAAGACATCATACCCCTAAAAAAATTAACTAATATAAATGAAACCATTTTCAGTAGTATAGTGGAGAGAAAAGGTTCATAAATTCTTATTAGAACATGGAACAAACTAACTGCATGGAACAAGTCATATTTAATATGCACTCTATATCACAGCAATGAATTTAAAGTGGAGAATAGAGCATCCACATCACAGATGCGAACCTTTGAAATAGTCGATTTGCTCAGTTTGCCAAGGGGCAACTTGTCAGCATTATACCCTATAAGAAAACACAACTGTGTGATAAAGGTAAAATTATAAAGTTTGGGAGAATACAGCATTGTCAAAAGGAAAATGATAATCACCTTATACAAGTTTTCACTGATGATGTTATCAGATAAAATTAAAATACTGGTTTGTTTGGTTTGTTTTGGGTTGAAGGTTGAACTAGCCATGTGAACAAAAAATGATTTTGGGGGGGGGGGGGTGAGAAAAATTTACTTATCATTATTTACATAAAATACAGAGCACAATAAAATGTCAACCTATTTCCATCATTTGTTGCTTCATCATGTTAACATTGCAAATCAGGGAGATGAACTTTGCAATTGGTGCTTCTAGCTTTGTTTGACGGGGCAGGATTTTTATACAAGCGTTTGGATCTCCTGAAACCTGTTTGGATTGTAACCTCGCCCTCAGAAGCAGTTGAATATGAAACAAAAATGTGTCCGCCATGCCATTGATCACAGCTGAATTGAGGTTCATATTACAAACAGATATTTCAATTATCATATGAAACCATTGACTTCTCCGGTTCTCCCTGACAGATGTGCTAATGGAATCAAGTGAAATTGGCAAGATCAACAGTGATGGTGTTCTATTGGTGCAAAGTAAGCAATATAGTCATAGAGTAAGAAGGAATTTATGAGCTACGGCGTATTAAGTTAAGGGTGTGTTTATATAGAGGGTTTTGGGATGGTGGTGTTTGGAGGGAAAAGAATTTACCCTGTATCTTGATAAATACGAAGTAGAAATGTTTCCACAAACAAATAAAGGGTGATTGAAATATTGCATTTTCACATATTATGTTGTTTCTTCAATTTATAAAAATTCTTAAATATGTATCAAGATATACACTCAGCCTTCCAAAGCCCAACTCTCAATCTAACCCTGTAATAACTTACTGATGGATCTTCTCCATTTTGACTGTAGTCCATTTCCAACCAAGTATATTGCCTAGAGTGGCACACAAACTCCTTACGCTCGGACCAGTGGTTCTTTGTCTTGTCATAAAACTTGCTCTCAAATTCTTGAATGGCGTCACATTGAGATGTATAAGGGCCACTGATCTTTGTCCCACCCTTGGCACCAACTCTGCCCCATCTGTAGTAGACTAGAAATTTCCCACCGCCGTCAAATTCTGCACGATTTTGTATAATCAAATAAGATGATCACAAATTTTCCATCATTCAACTTTTTGTATCATTTCAATAGCCTGAGCCTACGGCAACGTCACACATGGACAACATGGTGCACAATTCGACAAATTAGTTATATTATACACCCATTGATCCTTTTAACAGCCTGATTCCAACCAAGTTTCGTCTTTAGTTTTTTCTTTTCATAGAAGAAAATGGTCAAGATAATCAACTGAATGGTTTTAAAATATCACCGTATTTTATAAAAATTTCATTTTTGTTTGCAAGAGGATAAAAATATATAGTAACCTAGAGCTTGAATGACATAGAACTTGTTATTGTTCTGCCCAACATTTGTTTGGTTCAGCATTGCATCATAAATTTCGTTCCCCTGCAGATAAACAGCAATATAAATTATCGTGGTCATTGTCAAAAAATAGACACAGACAAAATGTCCATTTTAGGCCTTAGGGGCATATGCACTGCTAATTTGATTCTAAATTGGCAAGGTCAGGTAGGAACTGGTTTGTGGGTTACTTTGGCAAGGTCGGGTAGGAACTGGTTAGCGGGTTACTAACTTCTAATTGACCATTTCTGTATATATGCATTTTTTGGGATCAATTTAATAGCATACATGCCCCTAATTTTGTCATTTTTGGCTATGTGAACCTTAATCCCAACTAAATAGGGGTAGTTGGCAAGAAATTTATAGGGTCAACTAGTTTTCAAACATAAGTATTCAACACTATAAATTTATGGCAAAATCAGTGGCAAATTTTCATACTGAATTTTCTCCATGTCAGAAAGGGTCATGCTACAATAGATTTTTTAGGCAGTTCTATGAAAATATAATGAGAGATTCATGACTTCAGATATTCAGGGGGCACTCAATAGCACTTAATTTCAGTATTGTTTAGTTCTATTCATAATTCATTACCATTTAGTTTGTTATTACAATTATTGTTATTATTACTACTAGTAGTAGTAGTAGTCTACTACTATTATTATTATTATCAAAATCATCATTGTTGTTTGATAATCTGAAGATTTCAGATAGAGTTTGTAATGTTTAATAAAATACAGAGTATTAACTAGTATCATTATTTATTACCAGTACCAGAAATAATTTTCAATATCCCCGCGCTTTCTTACCTGTCAATTACACCATCAGCAAAAACAAAACAACAAGAATAATAGTGATATTGATTAAAGGAAGGGGTATGTGGCATGAAATTTATTGTGTCAGCTAGTTTTCAATAGTTAGTATTCCACACTAAAAAACTTATGCCGAGCTAAAGTTCGAGAGGGAAAATTCAGCTAAACTTGATTACATCCCAGTTCCAAAAATAGGGTCTGCCTAATCGACCTCGAATACAAAGAAACAAATATGTGAATTTAGCACTTACACACTGCAGCAGATGGTAATTTGCCTTGATGTCATCTGGAAGCCATTGATCTAAAATAGCAGCACCTTTCTTTGTTACTGTGACCAGTTTCCCTTTATCAGCTTCTTGAACTATGCCAAAATTAAATTAACACAACGATTATAATGATTGTTCATAACCAGGAATTTCATATAGAAACTATACTCTCAGCACCAACCAAACACGCCCTAAATCTGAAGACATGTGAACTGCAAATTGGCTTAAAGAGTCAAATATGAAAATAGTTTGGACCAAAAATTGACCTAGAAAGTCAAATAGGAAGAGGATGGACCTTTCATACGAAAAAGATCAATAGGATGGAAAGTAAAAAGTAAAAATCCTTTCAACAAAGTCAATTGAATTACCATCATCCGAACCATCACGAACATCATCAACTGCAGAAGAAAGCCTATCGATCAGTTCCTTCTTCAAACCGCTAACTGAAATCCCCCGGCGGCTTGCTTCTTCCCTCAGTTGCTTAACACTCTTTCTCCTCAGTTCCTCTATATTCTTGACCTTATTGTTGTTCTCGGAGTCTTCGTTCTCCGTCTCGTCCCTCGGCCTTTTCCGATTCTTCTCATTTTCCGGAACAGCGCTTGAGCCAGTGGATTGACGCGTGCTCTCTTCGTGAATAGCTTCTTGCAGCCTGCGCACCTGCGAATGTTTCAGAGTCAAGGCTCGAACTGGGGATGAAAATGAGGGAAGGAGAAGGGAGTGAGAGCTACCAGTGTCGGCTTGGTGCCGGTGGTGTCGAGGCCCCGGTTGGCCAACTCTGCACGAAGCTCGTCGACTTTGAATTTGCTAGCCATTTTTTGAGTGCAGGTTTGGGCTCCTAAACTCCGTGGCCCTGAGGATATGGGGTATGATTACATCACTTTAAAAAAATACGGAGTAATGCTAAAAAGTAAAAAGGATATATGGAGTATAAGTTATCTTAAAATGTCTAAAAAGTAAAGAGTAATGCTAGAGTTACAAATAAAAAGTTCACAAAATTCACAAATTTATATTTTTAACACTTTTCTAGAAATAAAATGCAGTCAAATATTAAAAAGATATTTATTTTAAAATCCACAAAAAGTAAATTTGTGAAGTTTGTGACCTATATGTTTGTGAATTTTGGAGGGACTTTTCATCCATTTCTCTGTCATATTCACTTACACCGTTTTATTCTCAAAAATTGCTGCGATACATTCAATATTATAGAATAAACCTTCAAGTCCATCTTTTTTAAAAATATATTCCGTTGTACCCTAAGATTCTGAAAACTTACTCTGGATAGACTTTCTTTTTTCCTTCTTCTTTTATTATTATTATTATTATTACTATTATTATTAGTACTATTATTATTATGATTACTCTTTTTATTATTGTTATTGTTATTATTATTATTACTGTTACTATTACTATTATTATTATTATTATCATCATCATCATCATTATTCACTTTGTCATTGTCTTCCGCAGTTGTCACTGGCCGCCGTTATTGCCTATTGAGTCGTGTTGGATTGTTGCTGCACGCACTATAATAATGATAATAATAATAGTAATAATGATAATATAATAATAACAATAATAATAGTAATAATATTAATAGCAACGAAAGTCTCTCTGTAGTTAGTTTTTGGATATTTTAGGGTACCCAAAGTACATTTTAAAAACGATGAGAGCGTAAAATATTTTAACATATCCAAAATATCAAAATATATTTTAAAATCTACTTTGGGTGTCCTAAAATATCTAAAAACTTACTCTAGACAATGGGGAAATGAGTAATAATAATAACAATAATAATAATAATAATAACAATACAAACAACAACAACAACAATAATAATAATAAATTATATAAAATATAACTTTGGATAAAACATAATTTCTTATGAAATAAATATAGATTCCAGTTCGAATCAAATATGAGTTTGTCAATGACCAAACAAGCTCAATTTCTCAAATCTCCTCATTAAATGAGTGGAACTTAGATTTCATTTTTCGTTCACTAACATAAATAAAAAAAACTTAAGGGTCATTTTGATTTGCCCTTGAAAAACTAATTTTAGAAGTTTTCATCTCATAATCAATTGTATTGTATTCATTTTAATAGTAATTATTTGTATAACCCAAAATTATGCACTATTCAGACAGTCGACTACTTCACATTCGATGTCACGGTCAACCAACATTCAAACTTCCCATCCATAACAATCACAGTTGGTGTGGCCCCATAACTGATAATTGATTGTACACATTTAGCTATTGTGCCCCATGTAGATTTTAAACGAATGTGTAAAGATGAGTTGAAATATGTAGTACTCCGTAATTGATAAGAATTTCCATCACCATAAGTCCATATTCCATAGAAGCACTACACTTCGTCATTTCCTTTTATTTCATAGTAAAATTACTTCGATAAATAGTCATGCAGTCATGCAGATGAGCAGACAACTTGTATTTTCATATGCGGTCCTCAAAATTTGAAGCTATAAAACATAAAAAAACTCTAAGTTTATACTCCCTACGCCCCGAATTGGATACAATTATCACTATTATGGCTTCTCGATAACTTTTATTTGTTTGTATATTTTCATTAATAATTTGATGAAATAAATATTCTTATCACCTCTTGTTTTATAGAATTTTTATGTACTTTTAAATGATGTAATTTGTAGTTTTTATTCATATACTAATTTATATTAAAATTAATTCTAAAATTAATGAAATTTTACACGTTATTTGGAGTGTGATATCTAACATGAGACGTAAGGAGTATTTTATAACAGGATAAGAACCAAATGTTTAAATTTCATATCGAATCGAATACGAATAATAATAATTATTCGAGTAGAAAACAAATACGGATTATGAATATAAAATATGAATAAAAGTTCTTAATATTCCGTCCTTCATTTTACACCCCTACCCCACTCATGAAAGCACCCTACTCTACTCCGGGAGATCTGAATGCTTGCTCCGTTCCCGAAGTTCCAAACAGATCTGAGGTCACTACACCTGTCGATTGTGGAGCTTCATCTCCACCACTGTTGCAGAAAAGCATCTGAAATTCCACCAACTCGCTGCAACTAGTCCATCATCACCGGACTCGCCAGCCACTGCCGACTTCTCCCAAACCCTCACTCCGCGTGCTGTGCCTCTCGACACTGCCTGGACTCCACTCCGAATTTCCCAAGTCCGATCATTCTTTCCTAACACCACCGGAGCTTGTGCTTATACCTGTCTTAGCCAGAGTTCTCCTGACCGTACCCGAGGCCTCTGTCCTCGTGTCCGGTCAACCACCCGCCACCTGAAGTGCCGTAACCTTGCTCCCGTGTCCGCCCCTCGACTTCTCTCCTAACAATCCTCAGGTTTGGCGTCGACACAAGTATCACATCTTAATCACGGGGTGTATTGGGTATTTGGGTTCTACATGTGTGTTGAAATGGTAAAATTGCATCCAACTTGATGATAACTCATAAGCTGTAGGTAGATGGATTTCTTTGCTGCACACTATACACTGCTGTTTATACTTTGTCCTGAAATTGAGTTCCGTAGAGCAAGTTATGTCTTCTTTTTCAAGGAGTTCATGGAAAATGAAATTGTTTGTTCGGGATTGATGTAGAGGAAAAAATATATGAACACCACCATTATTTTCTTTTAAGGATTGTAGGCTTTATGTTGGTCCGTTCTAAGAAGAAAAAAGATTTCTGAATTAATTTCAGGACGTAGGGAGTATTGGACTAAACAATGCACGTTACAAAATCTAGTGGATCATGAAAAACTAATCATACACATACCACAACTTAAGATATGGTTAGGTGTGTAGGTTGAGATGATGTGAATTGAGCTAGATATTAGGCATAATGTTGCAACTAACAGGGAGGACTGAGGAGTAGATGACTTTGTTGCAAGTAGGTATAATTGTAGCTTAGTATGTACTTGCCCTTTCCATAATAAACTTCGCTCTTTGATTTCATAGAGTTTTTTAAAGAGAAAAAATTGGGTGGTTGAAAATTGAAATTTAGTTAGAGGAGAGAATGATAATGAGTCACCTATTTCTTTGCTAAATTTTAAAAAAAGTGTGAATTTATTTTGGTTCAACAAAAAAAAGTGTAAAGTTTATTAAGACGAAGTATAATTAAATTATATATGCTTCGTATATGAATGACTATGAGTAGTTGATGTGTACAAATTTTTTTTGCTGGGGAGGTGGGGGGGGGTCCATGCACACTATTATAGTGAATGTGTGGCTGTTTATAACTTTATATGCACTATCTTTACAACAACAAGTCAACAACAACCTATCATAATCCCTACTTCATTGAGATTTAGCGGTCAAGACCCGTGTAAAATACAAAGAGATGGTTTTCATTAGATCCTTGATGCATTGCTACATTTACTACCCAAAACCAATTTGAAAGTAAGACATAGAGGAAATCTAATGTGCCATTTTATTTAGTCCACTTTTTACCCAAAGCCAAAACATTGTCAATTATGACTATTTTTGCTTCGTTGACAACATAAGCCAAAACATTGTCAATTATGACTATTTTTGCTTCGTTGACAACATGCATGCTTTATATTCCTTCAAATTCAACTAAGTTAGATGTATATAATTTATTTTTGGGGTGGATAGATCTATGCACACAATTATAATGAATGTGTCGCTATTTTTTATGCCCTCTCTTTACCACAACAACCTAGCATAATCCCAACTTCATTGAGGTCTACTGGTTAGGTTGTTAGCAGCCCTACCTGTGTAAAATATAGAGAGACGGTTTTCGTTAGATATTTGATCCATTGCTACATTTACTACCCAAAACTTCATTGGAAGTAAGACTCGAAGGAATTTTAATGTGCCATTTTTATTTAGAGTATTATTTACCCCATGACTATTTTCGCTGCATTGACAACAAACATGCTTTATATGAACTCTTTTGACTAATAAACCAAAATAGTTAATATGTAGTATGTTTTGCAATTATCAAGTTTATTAATTCTAAAACAAGAGTTTAAGCCTTAAGGCCACAATAGTAGCAAATTACACCTTACAACCAACTTTTGGGATTGTTACAAACATTGGTACAAGTGCAAGTTAATACTCTTTTCGTAAACTAAAACCATAACAGCAATAGTTAACATGTCTTTGAACACTTGGCAATATGCAGGATATAGCCCGGTCAAATTTCATTAGAGCATCTCCAATGGCTATTGTAAATTTTGATAGTGTATATTGTATTTTACACTACCTAATGTGTTTTACCAATCTATTTTTTCATAGTTACTCCAACCCTATCTCTTAAATAATATATTTTTTATATTATCTTATTTTTAAAATATTTATTTGTGATAATATTTACATTTTTAAAATTTTTATTGTATATGTATTTCAAACTATACATATATTGAGTAATTTTATATGAAACATTAAATATTAATGTACTCTAATAAATATATAGAAAAAAATAAATTTACAAGATGTGAATAGCATATAGTGTACTAATACAAGGCGGGACTTGCCTTTTACAATATAGTGTTAATTTTGCACTACCCATTGGAGTGGCAATTTTGCTATAGTGTCTTGTATATAATGTATTTTTTACAATATACAAGCCCTATTGGAGTTGCTCTTAATTGTTAAAAATTTACTCCTGTCACATAAAGAATTGCGTACACGCATAATTATGGTTGACTGAATATATTTTCAATTCCATTTATATGGAATATGCTTAAAAATAAAAAAAATTATATATTTAAATAGTACATCAAAAAGTCTACAAAACAAGAGGTGACAACAATGTATTATTTTATCATATGAATAATGAAATCAAAGATAGTGATTGAAGTTTGACCCTCTAGTAGTAATTGGGCAAATCTTTGTGGGACAGAGGAGTATTAAATAGTTAATATGTTGTTTGAACCTGATGGGTTCA